TCATATACACCTAGGATGCATCGGGGGTGAGTGAAACGCAGCCTAATTTTCAATTTTTGACTGAACTAACCCTTTAATGACAGCCTGTAGTCTCCTGGGCATGCTGTCACCCAGGTTCATGAAAACCTGAACTTCAGTTTTTTTCCCAGACTCGGTCTGAATAATTTTTGGACCCAAATTTGTATCAGTTTTACTGGTAGTCCACTGTATGAAGAATTTTTGGGTATGATTTGTCACAGTTTACTTTATTTTGCTATCCTCACTTACATAAATGAACTATAGTGTCCTGCACTCACTAGTAAAAAAATATCTATATTATATCTGGTCTCTGAATCATTTTTGGTTTCACTGTATATCCTTCTGTTATTTTCACACTTAATTATGCCCATTAAAATGTATTTTACACGTTTTTGTTACTTTCACTGTTCATTTTTTTGCTCTATGGTACATCATCTTTAATTTAATAGCATTAGAGCTGCTCCATTGCAGCGGATTTGTACTGTAATCACGCGCTTTGCTGTAATAATGCAGGGAACCACTCGTTATAAATCTCCTAACTGTGATATTTTCAGAAATAGAAGTCGCGTTTTTTCATCTGAAACGTGCTGCGATTTATATTCCAAAGCCACTCATATAATGCAGAAACACTCAAGCAAGCAAAACACACACAACACGTGTACGTATTTGTACTGGTGCAGAATGAGAGGGACAGTACAGCCTAGTGCATTTCACACAGGCTGCTAGATTCACTTTCGCCAGAAAGTCGTGTAAGCCTAAGGTTAAAAATGAATGTTTATAGTGAATGCCCCTATAAATGGTCTTATTTTTACGATTTAGTTTTAATCCAAATGATGCGTGTGCTAAGTGAATGAACATCAAAGATCACATAACAGAATTGCGCGCTCTCTCTCTCTCTCTCGCTGTCTCTCTCTCACCCTACCATTAAGTAACTTGTGCATTGTTTTACTTACTTGTTTTTGACATATCCGACCGAACTACAAACTTGTCCCTAATTACAACTATGTTATTAAATTATTTTATTATTTACTATTAATATTAACATCATTATTTACTACACATTTTTCACACAAATTTTACTTTTTCATTAAATTTCACATTTAATTCAATGTGCGACTTGCCGTTTCTTAGAAAGTGCTGGTTAATTACAGAGTGAAAAAAATACAGATATTTCTAGTGTGGAAATTACACATGCATTATAACTAGTGATCGACCGATATTGATATTTTATAACCGATAACGATACCAATTATTTGCATGTTTATGTGCCCGATAACCGATATGCAGAACCGATATTTATTCACTGTTATAAAGTAAATAAATTACTGAGTGAAGTAAGTCCATACTTCACTTTGGTTTTTCCTCCTTTAAGTCATCTTAAAAAAAGTGTTGAAAATTAGCAGTCTTTCATGTTAAAATTAATCTTCATACTACAACAATAAAGGAAAAATATCGGTAAATCGATATATCGGTCGATCTCTAATTATAACTATACAAGAAACTATAAAGCAGCCCTAAATTTATGAACACTATTTTAGCAGTACGTGTTCAATAAGTATTTTCCCAATTCATTTTCTCCATAGGCTTAATGGGACAAGAGCTATGTGAATAACAGAATTAAATCAGTCTGGAGATATTTCATTTATTTATTACTCATCAGACAAATCCAATACTGTTCTTCATGCCAAAATGTACTTTTCTATGGTGATTTTGAGAGGGATTTCATTTCTAATCAGATTTTCAGTGGTTATAGTGAAAGCATGACTGCAAGGCCCTCACGTTTGTCTCACCTTATCAACATTCATCCTCTTGAAGGAGGCCTGCAGGAGTTTGAAGTTGTGGATGTATTCATGCTCCAACTTGGCCTGGAATTTCACCTTCTTAAGACTGATGCAGCCGGGAAACAGCATGTCCATGAACTGACAGTACGCTGCTCCTGCAAAGAGACGCACAGAAGATTTGCTGGGTGAAAAAGGTGTCGTGAGGACATTATTTAGGACTCACTCTGTTTCTCTAAGATCTCCACCACTTTCTACCAGATTTAGTTTCAGTCTCAGGTTCATCTAAGTGTCCAATTTACTCTGCAGTAAACTTAATCTGCCCAATCAGAAGAAATAAAACAAGGACACTTAAAGGGAGATCCATTTGACTCCAAGGATGTAATTTAAAATGCCATGTAAATCAATGTCTTCTGCCTGTCTAGGCAGACCTGGAGCCGTTCCAGAGGATATTCAGTGTCTCAGAGATCTTTAAATACCTCTGGCCTGACCTGTGCTTATGCTGAACTAAATATAGGTATTGATGTCCGATGTGATGATGTCATAATGCTAAAGCACAGAAGTGTTGTCCACAAATTGATTTGTTTTGTTTTTTTTATTTGAGACTTTATTTCGAACATGTAAAACAAAGTATTTACATGATTACTGGAAAGACATTTGTTCTCAAAACTCTGAGATTTTAATGCAGAATGTCTCTTACTGTATGTTTAGGTAGAAATAAGCAACACAGACCATCCTCAACAGACAGAATCAATTATTTTATAGTAGAACAAAATATTTGAGTAGAAAATAATTATATTTATTAGGAGTAATATAACAGTAAGAATAAATAAATGGAAATGTATAGAATTGTGTGTACATATATACATACAGTGTACATATAATTGCGCACACACACACACTTCTTATATTAATCTTAATTATTTTATTTTATTTTGGTAAAGTTATATTTCCTAAACTATAAACTACTTACATTAGACTATATTTACAAATACAAATAATGCTGTGTGTGCATTATCATTTGTTTTATAAAATCTTTTTAATCACTAGTCTTTATTAGCCTATAATTACTATTCATTAAAATAATTCCTTTCTCATCATTAATCAAACTTGTCAACCCTTCTGAAATCAAACAAATAATGACACTTTATCATAGCAGTGGTCGATAGTAATGTAGTTATTTCAGATGAAATTAAATGCAAATGTTTGAGAACTTGATGAAAGGATACTGAAACTAAACGGGTAGTTGGCAAATAACATCATTTTTGATTAAAACGGATTAATCTGCGATGAAAACGTAATATTTTAGATGACCTTTAGCCGTTTTGCAGTTCATTTAAACAGCCCTGTCGTGTGAAAAAAAGTATAAATCATATTAAGTCCACATATAATTGCATGCCTAGTAATTATACAAAATTAAATTGATTTTGATGAAATATAGCCTGACACGTTGCGCATAATACAAAAACACTTTTATTAGATGATTTAAAGCTATACTTGTTTTTGGCTGCAATAAAGAAGTTCTAGTTTAATTACTTTTAATTTCATAGCAATTTACTGGGATTATCTCCGTTCCCAGGTTCATAATTCATGGCTGTGTTACCTAAAGCAGCTGAGAATTCACAACAGCTTTACTGACCAGCCAGACGACTGCATTTATTTACACAAACGTTTAAAAGGTAGCAGCCGCCCTACAGCAGCACAGACAAGCACTAACAAAATGCCTTCGTGTAAATCCTCTGGGATTACTGCTCTTTGTGTCTAATGAGTGTCAGCGGTGGTTTAAGTTGGGAGGTTCACATACCTGATGACAGTTGCTCCACTTTAGTGTAGTTTAGACAGAGCAGATCGTTCACCCAGGCTGTGATGTCATGCCTGCTCATAGTCTCCTGGGTGATTGAGGTAGAATAAACGTTGACCGCCATCCCCCAGCTGTGGACGAGACACAGACATCAGCATCATAATCATGTGCAGATGTATTGAATGACACTATCAGCTCTGGTATTGACTTGTCAGTCTGAGCAATTTACAATGCAGCATGTATACTATAACAACGATGTGTACTAAGTCTAAAGTCTATAATATAATGTTTTGGAATTAAAAATATGAAACTGTGCAATAGCAATGCTTTTCTAAGAGTTTTAGGAACTAAACTGAGGTAGACTAATCTGGGACAACAAAAGGCCATCTGTTGGTGAATTTATACACTTTAAAGGAATAGTTCACCCAAAAATGATAAACTGCTGAACATGTACTCACCCTCAGGCCATCCAAGATGTAGATTAGTTTGTTTCTTCATCATATTTGGAGAAATTTAGCATTATATCACTTGCTCACCAATGGATGCTCTGCAGTGAATGGGTGCCGTCAGAATGAGAGTCCAAACAGCTGATAAAAACATCACAATAATCCACACCACTCCAGTCCATCAATTAATGTCTTGTGAAATAAAAAAAACTTTCAGTTTGTAAAAAAAACTTATCTATCAAGATGTTTTTTTT